TAAATCATTATTTTGTATATATCAAAATTATGTTTTATGTATTTTTTTTTTTATTTACAATTTATTTAATTGCTCTATTAATTATTAATATTGTCTTGTAACATTGTATGTATATACTTATATATTTCTATTCGCCCGCAGATCTGAGTTGGCCAAGGAGCTGAAGGAGGCCCTCAAAGTGATCAATGATTCGCTGCTGAAGAAGCTGGGCTCTCGGCCAATCACTTCGTTCAGCCTGAAGGCATCCAAGGCCACCATTAGCGACCACTGGTTCCGCATATCCAGCACGGCCACATCCAATCCCCACGAGGTGGAGGACTACTTGGACTACTTTGAATCTCTGTCGGTGCCACTTTTGGAGTACTGTGTCAATCTCTCCGATAGCAATGTGAGCAGGATTATTCCAGTCCGACCTTAACTCAAATATTAATATAATATCCCTCTCCTCCCTCAGGGCAACACGGCCATGCACTATGCGGTCTCGCATGGCAACTTTGACGTCGTATCCATACTGCTGGATTCCAAGGTTTGCAATGTAAACCAAATGAATAACGCGGGATACACGTGCGTCATGCTCGTCTCGTTGGCCAAGCTGAAGCAAGCGGCGCATCGGACAGTCGTGGAGCGACTGTTTCAGATGGCCGATGTCAACATACGAGCCAAGAAGGTAGGTAAAGGCCTGTCACCGGGTCGATTGGCACTGCATCACTCATACGGTACTATTGATTGTTCCACCCACTAACTCACCTCATGCCCGATCCTTTGTCCCAAAACGAACTCTTGCAGCACTGCCAAACCGCATTGATGCTAGCTGTGTCGCATGGTAACAGCGACATGGTCGAAATGCTGCTCGAGGCCGGCGCCGATATCAACATCCAGGATGAGGATGGCAGCACGGCGCTGATGTGCGCCGCCGAGCACGGCCGTGTGGATATTGTGAAGCATTTGTTGTCGCAGCCGGAATGCGATTCACTGGTTCAGGATGTGGTGAGTATTCAATGTCTGCTCTCAGCAATTCCTTTGCTCAACCACTTCCCACTTGATTCCCATGCAGGATGGCAGCACGGCCTTCAAGATCGCCTGGCAGGCCGGACATCGCGACGTTGGCTTGCTGCTGTACGTGCACGAGCAGATGCTGCGCAGCAAGCTGCCCAATCGTGGGGAGCCCGTACGCAAGTCTCTGCCCTTGCCCGCGCGCCCCAAGCAGCCAAAGTGAGGCGCAGCGGCTGGGCCGGGCAGCCATTTTTGTATTAGCGGCCAAAATGTCGAACAAAACGTTAGTGGTAAGATTTTGAATTAGCATTTCGTAGCGCTGCCTAGGGAAAGTAGCTAAAAAACCATTCCATATCGGTCAAGCATAACTGTAAAACCAACAAACAAAATTGTTCATAATTTAGCTAATAGTTAACACTCACACAAACAAATGAAAGGCGCAAACAATACTTTTTAATATTAATTTTAAGTCGTATTTAATTTATTCTCTTATTAATTTTGTTTAATGTCTAAAAAGCTCACAGCTGAAAATAATATATGCAAGAGTTACATAAGTAAATCTAAGTTTTATAATTATGCAACTAAAATCAAGTGGAAAATTGTCAAAACTTAATAACAAATATTAACTAAAGTATACAATAATTTACAATTTCTCTTAAGAAAATACTAAATATATGAAAAAAATAAAAATAAATAAATAAAAATAAAAAATCCACATTAACCTGGGCTACATACAGTAGCAGCCATAAAGCAACCATATCAGCAAACGACAATGCGAAAAACGAAAAGAGGACAACTTTAACAAAACACAATTGTAAACAATAAATTAAAATGTAATTAAATTATTTTTGCAGAGCTACTTACAATAAAATTAAAAATATATATCTATGTATAAAAATACAAATGTGGTTGATAAATAAATATTTATGGGAGTTTTAGCTACCCGAGCGTAGCAACAATTTAGTCAGAAAGTATACGTCTATTCAAATCTAATGCGGCATATTGTATTTAATAGTATATATATATCTGTATATGTATTCATTTGACGATCAACTATTTTAGAGCATTTTAAATAAATAAAATTTATGTTATGTTTAGTTTGTGCTCTCTTTTTTCACGGATATTAACTTGAATTCGGATTTTATAGAAAAGGGGTTTCGAATTGTTATTTTATTTTATTTTATTTTATATTACTATTGCTTCAGTTCCACAGGGAATTTCTTCGATATTTATTATTTTGGTAATTTATTTAAATATTCACTTCAAGCTTTCTAAACCTTCAAATTATTTTTATTTTATTTTATTTTATTTTTATTTTTTATATGTATGATACTCGTTTATGCCTTTGAAACTTTTAGTTTTTGTTTTCTACATATTT